AAGCTGTACGATGGATTTTCCAGCTTATATAAAGCATGAACATTGAAATATTGGGATATTGTTATTGCATAGTTGGATAATGTGAATACATAAATGTAGTTTTGATTAATATTTTTAGTATGATCAATATTTCTAGGTATGTAGTTGGAAAAGACTTTGTTTTTTTCTGTCGCCAAAAGCTCTTAAAACATAATCAGAGAAAATCTGTTTACCTATGAAGGATTCTATAATCATAATTGCATCAACATTATTTAGTTCAAATGTGTAATTTCACACATGAATGCATTTGAAAAATATATCAAATGAAATAAATATTTCATATAATCTTCAAGTTTTACATACACAGTTTTATTGATCGCACACAGATGCAACCAGAAAGTGTAATTACAATTTATTTCTAATTATATAAAATATTTATCACCAGCATCTAAATTTATTGATATAAAACTTATAAAACGTAGAAATTTATAAAATAAAAGATTAGGCACTAGATATATTATTATTGGTTCTCTGAAGAATTTGTTAGGAAGCCATCTATTTCTACATTTTACTGCCTTTGTTTTAAGTAGCGCGAGTTTTACATCAAGAAGAAATTCGGGAAGAGTTATCTGGTAAATGTAACACGATTTTGTGTATCTACAACGGAATTCTAAATAAAATTCTATTTATATTTATAAATGCAAGGAAACATGATATCGTTAAAGTTTATTCTTAGCGTAATAATTAAAAAAAAGTTAATTTTTCTGTTATCTGTCCCTCTAGTTTTGGTAATTGAACGAAGTTTCATAGTTTATATCAAATACAAAAGCAATGTTTGTCGAATTAAATGATACGAAATACGATTTTGTATATTTTCACGCTTCGATTATTATTAATACAATTAATTCGCAAATAAGAAAGTAAAAACATGATATGTTTGCTTTACATAACGTGTTGGACGGCGCCAATCATTAGAAAAATCTAGCAAAAATAACAATAATAAGATTAAATATTCAAAGAATTTTACTTTCGACTCCTTTCCCATTGTTCTTTCTTTCTTTGAAATGATTAATCCATTCACATATGCATATCGTATGCTATTGTTTTAAGATTGAATATTTACTACTGGAGCTACCGCGTACGTCTGCAATAATATATTTTGCACTGATAATAACTGCTGATTGTGAATGAAGGAAGAAATAAATTTGCAAGATCTCAAAACATAATTATCATTTTATAAATATTTTTTAATTTTATAATTAAAGTAGTTATGTATTCTCAAACTGCAAATTGATGTGCTTTTTTCAATTGAAAATATGTGAAGTAATTATACTTCAGTTCCTGAAATTATGTTCATTAAGCGTCAGCGTTTTAGTTATCATTTTCCACTAGCCGAAGAAACACTTACAATGGAGCTAAATTGGCTACTACTAGAATACTAGAATTATTCGGGTTAGATTTACAGAGATGTAAATAGTTTTCCAAATCATTAGTCTTGTGTCTATTTTTTCGGAATGATACATTGAAATTTTGATAAATTGCAGCATTTCAAATGTTTTATCATGTACTAAAATTGGATTACATTACATGGTTTTTTATACACACATAAATCTATGTATATATATATGTATGTATGTGCTTTCTTGTGTCATTTGTAAACTGACGTGTAATGGGCGTATAAATAGAAAATTGTTCTGTGCCAGCGAAAACTTACACGACAAATTCTATTTCTGAGGAGTTTGTAATCGACTCCTGGAAAAGTGATTTCGTTATAAGAAAATTGATAAAGGAACTAGATATAAAACAGCTTGATTAACTAAATACATTTCAACATTTTTTTAAATTAATTGATTTAATATTTTGCTAATATTCAGAAGAAAAACAAAAAAGTATTTAATCTATAACCTATTCCAAGTAATCAAGATTTATAGTTTTCTGTGAAGAAATATTTTAAATCATTTATTTTTGTAAATTAAACGCAATCAATATCCCCTTATTGATTAAATAAAACTCAAATAAAATTAAATACCATGAATTCCCAGACAATTGAAAATAATAGACTATTCGTCTCACAATCACCTTAAACATCTTGTGGCCCATCAATCTCTATTGTGGAACGAGGAATATGTATATGATATAATGAGGAATGAAAACAATTTTGTACAATTTATAAATATTGATCTTTGACTTTTGTCAATATTTCAATTGAAACGAATTATTATATTTATATTCTAAACTTTATCGGAATAAATCATATTGAATCATATTGACGTTGATATTGTTTGTGCAAAATATGTAGAACAACTTCATAGATTCTAAACAAAATAACGATAGCAAAAACATCATATATAATTTAACGTATAATGCAGGTAATAAAGAATTTGTTAGATTGACTTTAGCTTACTTATAATTCTTGGTTTGGATATATTTTACGGAAAATTATTTGATTCGAGTATGGTACTAAAGCCTTGTTAAAAATAGTATTGTTAAAAACTATCTAGGTAAACCAGATCAAAATATTTTCTGTGTTATTGACTAGTGTTAGAAAGTTCAACTGGAATTGCCAAAGTCTACCTTCGTTCTTATTTTTTTAATCCTTAATTATTATTTGTGGCGGTTAATTACAAAATTATGCATGCTTTTCATATATTGCATGTGAGCATGTTTCACAAGTATATCAACAAATGTTGGTTTCTCTTTTATGTAAATATTTTACATTAATCGCACTGTTTGCAATTTGAGTTTTTTTATAATGGGCTTTTGATAGTCGAGCCTTATTAAGTTAATCTTTTAAGCGCAAATGAAAATCTATTGAACCATATTTAGTTTGTTTCAAAATCTTTAGCTTAAATCCCAAAACTGCAAAATGGAATAATATTAAACTTGAATTTATATTTTCTGTTTATTCAAGTTTCAATGTGTTTTAATTGCCAGTTAGATCTCGAATTCCCACAACTAAAGTAAATTTGCAATAATTAATATTATTTTCATAAAATACTATACTTTACCCAGCATTCTTGATTAATTAATAATGACTTGAATATTCATCGTACTGTGTAGCATTAGCATTATTATCAAGTCTTGCAGAATTCTAACACAAGTTTTAATATGTTGTCAGACCGCTTTATATATAATGTTTATAATTAACACAAGTCGACGACTGAACAATATTGTATGTTTTTCACATTATAAAAATGATTTGTTATTAAATTCTGTTTCATTGTTTGCTTATCAAATATGTCAGACTAAGTGACCTGCGAACTAGATTAAGGATAACGTATTGTAATTCATTAGAAGATATTTAATGGTAATGATTCATTGAGCTTCTACTGCAACTATCTTCTACTTTGATGTTTATTTAGATTAAATTAATTGGCTTAAGTCGGCAGCAGATGAACGAATTTGCGAGATTTTATAGTTGCGGTCGCTAACCTCTTCGTTGCTTATATAAGTCAACTATAAGATAATTGATGTGTATATATATATATATATATATATATATATATATGTATATATATGTGTGTGTGTGTGTTGACAATATTATAACATTGTTGGTATTCTCTAGAAAAAGACATTTTTAGGTTAATCGTTTCTTTATACATTGCTACCGTTACCAGCTCAACTAATGACTTTTTTCTTACAAAACACTTATGGTACATATATAACAATTTATTTCCTTGGGTGATAATGTGCTTTCATATAAATAGTACAATCGTACTAATTTATCATATGATCTTGTCATGATAATAGTTAGTGAATAACTTTTATGTTCCTGTACTCTTTATTTCTCTCTTAAAATGTAATAGTTTTACTGAGAATTTTACTTCATTTCTTATGATCAACTGACTTGAGATTTTCAATTTTTTTTTTTCAATTATACACGAAAATATGTATTCTGACATAAATTTACTGAATTTAGCTCACAATTAAATAATTTAGCAATTTACTAGTTAGTAATTAAGTTCCAAGGTTTAAATAATTGAGATTCTATAAAAGTATTTAGTATAGTATTGTTTATATCAAATTTCCGATTTTTCACTATTATCTATATCAAACTATTAACAAATTTTGTATATAAAGTCTTCTTGTAATCACTCAATTAAATTTAATTATAATTAAATGCTTTTGATTAGCATTTTAATGACGTTTTCCGCTTTGGAAATCGTCCTGTACAATTATCTATGACACTTCATTATTGTTCAAATAACGTGTCAAGGAAGCCAATTGATAATGACAGGAAAATTGAAATAGTAGATGATTTGAATATTATTACAGATTTTATTAAAATCACTATTACACAATATTATTGTCATAATTGTTATATATTTTTGTAGTAGCAGTTTTCATCCTATCTACTTCATTTAAGAAGCATCATTTAAATAAGTTCATTTAAAGGGAGGAGGAATGTTTGACAAAATATCACGAAATACAAAGGAGGAGGGGTGGTGGTGGATATCACGTATTTATTTTTGCATCAAAAAAATCCAAATTTGAAAAAGAAATTGAAAAACGATTTGACTGAAGATGCAAATATTCTTAAAAATTGATCACGTGATTTATGGACAGCCCCTAATTGTATAATTTTTTTTATTATATTATAAACATGTTTGATACTTCAGAAATTATTTTGTTACTTAATTAGTAATTATCTTAATTGAATTATATTATTTAAAAAATATTGAACAAGATATCTTTATCAATAGAAGATAGATAAAAGTGACTTACCTGCTATAATTATAAAGTAATGAATTTTTATGAATTAGAATAATGAGAAAATCACTTCTCTTGGATTAACTGTTGAATAAAACTTATAAATACAGTTCTGTAACTAAATATACGATAATTCTTAAAACTCAACATTTTACTTAACTGGAACATTCTCTGACTTATTAATTAATTTACCTCCAGTTTGAATGAATGGCTGTTTTTATTCTCTTATATATTAATAACAAACAATATTTTTTATCCTGTCTGTATTATTTAATAATTATTATTTAATAATTTTTTTTTCTCATTTTCAGTCTGTTATCGCACTCCCGCGATGCAGTGCAGCATCGAGAGCAACGCGACGCGTTCTTCGCCAGCGAGAGCTGGTCTCAGGGTGAATTTCACCGACAAGGGCGAAGTCAAAGAACGTCGCGAAAAATTCTTAACAGCCAAATATGGATCTCATCAAATGAGCTTGATTCGAAAAAGGCTAGCAGTAGAAATGTGGCTGTATGATGAACTTCAAAAACTATACGAACCACCGGTAAGATAATAAAAAAATATACCGAAAATATTCAACATCATTTTATTTTAATATGCAGAATAAATATTGTTGATTTATGTTTATATATATATATATATGTGTGTGTGTATATATATGTCTTCTTTCCCCTTTTGTTTCTCACAACTCTCTCCCATTCCTTCATTACACGTGTGACTACACTGCGTTGTAACCTAGATCAGTGTCCACAATGCAATGCTATCAATAACATTAAATATAGGAGGGCATTAAGTGCTCCTTCTATTTCTAGTTCGTTAATATAATAGTATTTTATTATTTTACACAAATTTAGTGTCCAATCAATTTTACATCATAATTAATTTTTTCTGTTGTTTTTTCTGGTTTGGTTTGTATAATTTCCTCCTTTTATATATTTATATTTATCATCAACTGTGTTTTTATGTACATCAAGTGCCAAAACGTTTAATGGAATAAATAATTTTGTTATTTAATATTTTTTTAAATCGACAGTTGGGCTGCAAAAATATTACAAATATGTATCAACGTCGACAAAACTATCATCATATATGTATATATATGTGTATATATATGTATATATATATGTATATATATTTTATGAATATGTTATAGGGGTATACCGCGTAGGACTAGCGCTATCCTTAATGGAAAAATTAAATATTTACAAAGACCAGCAATTTATAGAGACCTTATTACTTCTGCCATTATTGCATTGTAATCAACAAAAGTTGTGGTTACAAATAAGTGTTTCTAAGATAAATATATATTGTTTTTTTTTCGAAATATTTGATTGAGAATGAATAATTCAATAATTTCATAACTCAACGAACACCTCGAGTTAATGTTTCACAAAAAGCCATATTGCATTCATAAACGTTATAACGTGCACGCATACATAACGCTCATTTAGTCATATTGCAAGTATTATAAGAATAACAATAAGAAATACAATCAGATGGACAAACCGCGAAGGCCGGCGGTATTTCTTGTTGTTAGATTAACTAGAGCGTGTGGTCATTTGTAGGATGTTGCGAAAGTTTATATGAAAAATAACTAAATACACTCGATTCGCAGCACAAAGCAGTGATATGATGGTGCGTCAAAAGCATTAAAGTGAGCATTTATTGCAGTTTTCTATTTCCATTCACCTTTCATGAACGCACGAAGCTCAACTCATAAAGCTTGATGGCTTACAAATATTTTTATATACTTCCTTATGTAATAGCTATCTTTTGAAAAATCATATCTTTTTCGGGTATTATTAAAAATTGAAATTTGTTTTGTTCAACTCGTACTTAATCTACAATATTTCAATTTAATTTTTTTTGGTATTTATATTTTTGTCTTGTTGTATGCGCCTGCTTACAAATTCGAATATTAAATAAAAGAATTAATTTGTAGGAAAATTGGACTAATATCAGAAAAATTATTTGAACAGATTTTTAACTTTGCGTAGGGTAAGTGATAGTAATGGAACAAAAGTTTTTTTTTACTGAATTTTTACAGGGGTAACATAATATTTTATTATGACAATATAATACTTTTTACCTTCCCGAAGGAGAAGTTTATGTTTTCATCAAAAAATCAGATTCGCTAATTTTCTGTTTTCTCGGCGTTTCAAGCCATTCTGAATCGAATGAGACCAAATTTGGAAAAAGTATGTATGTGTGTGTGTGTGTGCGTGTGCACACACAGATTTTTTGCCGTAAATCGACGTTTTCTCAAAAACGGCAGGACCAATTTCAGCCATTCGATGTATCTCGATGAGTACTATTGTTTGTCAGTTTTGTGCGACGATCGGCCAAGCCGTTTCTTTGTAAATCGCAGAAAAGTGAAAAGTTTTTCGTCCACGTTTTAGCCCGCAATTCTGAATCGATTTTGAAAATTCAAAAACGATCGAAAAATATTGGTTGGGAATCGACCTGATTAGTTTTTGGCAGAGATCGGTCAGGCCGTTTTCTTTTTTCAGGATTTTTATTATTATTTTTTGACTATAGATACCACAGTCTTCTAGATCATACTAAAATATTTCGGCCCTACGACAACTCGTTTAGCTTTAAAATTCGTCATTCGTCAAAATTTGCAACGATCGGCCGAACCGTTTCTGTGTAATTTGGAAAAAAGTGTTAAACCTTTCGTCCACATTTAAGCTCATACTACCGAACCGATTTTAAAAAATCAAAAACTGTTCGAAAGATACTAGTTATAGGTGAAAATCTACCGAGCCGTTTTGTTGTAATGAACTGTTGAAAAAAAATTTAAGCCGATTTTTATGGAACTTTTTTGGGCGATATACAGCATGGTCTTATAGAACTTACTGAAATATTACGGCCTTACGACACATACTTTAATTTTAAAAATTTATCAAAGTTTGAGAAGATGAGTAGTTCTTTTGACATTTGTTAAAATTAAAATTGGTCTTAATGAACATACTAAACAATTAAAGTCCTACAAAAAACTGGCACATTTATTAAAATTATTGATTTTTGAAAATTTGCTTTTAAAAAATACTCCTACCGGTCTGACGTGTTCGATTTTCAATAATGTTTAATGAATCCACTTCGAATACTTTTAACTACTCATAAATTAATTTATCTATCATGAATTAAGTCGATTATTAAAATTAGATTATTTACCTGGTATAACGATAAATGCTTGGTCTTAATGAACATACTAAACAATTGAAGTCCTACAAAAAACTGGCTCAATTTTAAAATTATTGATTTTTGAAAATTTGCTTTTAAGAAATACTCCGACCGGGTTGACGTGTTCGATTTTCAATAATGTGTAATAAATCCACTTCGAATACTTTTAACTACTCATAAATTAATTTATCATGAATTAAGTCGATTATTTACACAAATCGGGAAGTTCATTTAACTTGCCTCAAGGCAAAATACCAATACCAACTAGCTTATATCATTATCTTGTGGCATAACCAATATTCAAAATTTTTACAGGGTCTCAAATTCTACGATCTGTTTCATAAAATTTCTGCGACACTGATCAATATCTAAACACATCAACAATATAATTTCTATGAAAATACCTATATTGCTGATTGTTTCGAATGATCTAGTTAATCAAATTATCGTTCTTCTTCTAAAGGTATCACCCTCCTGTCCGATACTTGCAGGCAGTCAATATTAAACAATTTCGCTACCCCTGTCCGATTAATAGCCCGGCGCATGATGCGATCCGCGCACGAATGCAATTTTGCACGCTTTTGTTGTTGTTGAGCCTTCTCTTCTCTACACTTAGCTTCTCTTGACTCCCGCTACACCTTCAGTAGGAAAAAATAAATAAATGCATCATAATAAAAATATAATCGAGAGTGGGAACTAGCAACAGTCCAGACGTAGCGAAGAATTTTTGCTCAATGAATATTCATTACAGAAAGTCGGAGGTTTTCGCATTGTTTTAAATATGCATAAAATTATTAAGATTTATATTTTCATAGACAATGACTAAGGTGTAAATATAATAACGCTGTAATGGAAGTGTTGCAGGAGAGAAAATATTCATATTCCCATAGCATTACTTGTAATTGCGATGCTAATTGGAGCGGCTTTCAAGACTTTGTTGTATTAATGTTTTAGTTGCAGTATTTTAATTTATTTTTTATTTTATTTTTCTACTCTGTAGAAAGCTTAAGAATTAAATAGTATGTAATACAACTAGTTGTAAGTAGAATTTTGTCTTAAGGCAAGTTGCATGAACTCTCCGATACCGATACATAATTAATAAATAAGACTGAGAACTTATGATTTTCATTTCATCCATTTCGTGTTGTGCTAAATTTTATTTAATTAAAATGTATTTTATTCAAATGTGATCAGTAGCTTTCCACGAAATACTCAGAACGTACATATGTTTCAGTAGGGATTCTGATTAGAATCGCATTGATGAATTTTTTAAAGTTCTATTCGTATGTCTATTCGTTTGCATTTATATGGATAAACAATGTGTCGTAGAAAGCTTAAGAGTTAAAAAGTATGTAAAAAAAACTAGTTGTAAGTAGCATTTTGTCTTAAGGCAAGTTTCATGAATTCCCGGATACCGATACATAATTATCTTAATAAATAAGAACTGAGAACTGATGAACTTCTTTTCACCCATTTCATGTTGTGCTAAATTGTATTTTATTTGATTGTGGGCGTCAACTGTGATCAGTAGCTATCTACAAAATACATAGAACGTACATGTTTCAGTACGGATTTTGATTAGAATAGCATTGATGAATGTTTATAATTCAATTGCTTATCGCTGGCCTTTAATAACTTGATGTGTTATTTCAGACTGCGAATTTTATCGGTATATAAAGTTTTACTAAAAGCGTCAAAATGCTTTATTTCATACTTAATTACAATCATTAAGTGTAATTATTACTTAATTACATCTTTACCATGTACTAATCAACGCGGTTTCCATCCAATATTTTTTAATAGTGTTTGAATTTTTAAATCTCTCTCTCGCACACATCATTTTTTCTAAATTTAGTTTTGCGAAAAAAAACTTTTTCTTCCGTAGCTTAATTAAGAATATTAGTTAAAATTAAAAATGTTTCAATACACAAGAGCAGTTTTCATTATTTTGAATAAATTGTATGTGAAATTTTAAATATTTCGGATGCATTGTTCTATTTTTATGATTAAAAACAAAGAAAGTGAATTTTTGCTCATTATTATGAGCATCTATGTGAAGAATGCGTGATCTATCATAAAAAATAGATTTCGTTTTTAGTCCATTTATTTAAAAACTCACGTTTTTATTAGCTTTTGTTTCACATATATGAAGATGAGCAAACTATTTTATAATTAAAATACTCTGTTGTGCAAACCTAGTTTTTTCCTCATATATATACATATTTAAATGATGAATACCATATTAAGCATTATTGTATTTTTTAAGTTATTGGCGTGGGTGATTCAATTGTATGAATGTAGGTAGAATGAAATACGCATTTGATGTCAAAAATGTATTTATCATTTTTAAATCTGATGTGTATACGAGGTGTGTTCAAAAAGTACCCGGAATTACTAATAATTAAATTTCGCGGGTCTGGAGTGTCTGATTGTCAAAATTTTTTTTTATTGTGTTGGTATACATGCCCCTAAAGTATGATGAAATTTTCAGCTATATTCACTGTTTACTTTGTCTGTGGTAGTCGCTAAGGTTCGACGTGTTTTTCTGAGCTCGGCGATTTTTACAATGGAAGAATTGAAAAGTCAAAGAATTTGTATTAAATTTTGCGTAAAAAATGAAATAAAGTGTTGCAAAGTGCAAAAATTCACCAGATATGGCTCCGTGTGACTTTTTCCTATTCCCAAAGTTGAAGAGACCCATGAAAGGACGGCGGTTTTCCTCGATTGAAGAAAATCGCTGAGAGTGCTCAAGGACATATCAAAAAGTGAATATCAAGGGTGCTTCGAAAATTGGAAAAAAACGCTGGCATAAGTGTATTATATCTGGGGGGGACTACTTTGAAGGGGACCACATTAATGTAGACGAATAAATAAATATTTTTTTGAAAAAACGAAAATTCCGGGTACTTTTTGAACAGACCTCGTATGGTGATTTTAATTACAGCTTTATGCATCGATAGAGATATCTATATATTGACAATAGTCAACCGATATTTCTATACCATATGAAACAATATGCAAAGTTTTTTCATTACATGTATGACTATATAGTTATGTCTGCATACTCTGCACTATCTGGTGGCACATAATTATCAGTTTCACACTGATTTTATATTTCAGTATTCCATTTACTGTATTTTTGTTAATTGCACAATGCATACATACAGTATTAAAGCTTCAATAAAATCTAGAAGTGACACTAAATGTTACCTTCTCGTGCTTACTCTGTGGTCAAGCTAAAATTAACATACTTCTGTGAACACGGGAGTGTGTGCTTGACCTGTTTTTGTGCGTCTTTCACACGCACGTCTCTATCAAATGTCTTCCGCAACTTGCGAGATCAAAAAAGCTTAAGGAGTTGATGGATACTTACTGTTGTAAGTAAAAAGTATTATCTTCCATTGAAGGCAATTGAAGAATCCACGAGCTAGTTGGAACCTAACAACAAAAAATTAGATTAATTAAAAAGTTTCAATCATTTACTACTACCAATAATTATTTTTTTACTTTCCTTAATAACATACTTGATGTTTTTTATCAATTTTCTGTTCAGTTTCAATGTAGGAATGCGCCCTGCTATGAATCATTTTCTGAACATCCGAATAAAAAATATTCCTTTACTAAATATTCAGGAACTCAAAAAAAAGAAAGGCAATGATAACCGATAATTTAAAAGTTTTACTTGACGCATACACGAAGAATTTAATCTTTTGTTTTTCATAATTATTAATTTCGTGATTACACATGATTGATGTTTTGGGTTCTTAATGACTGCGCCAAAAATCTTCAAATGGGCGTGGAACGTCAGGGATATGAATGCAGTAAAGTTTATTAGTATTTAGTTGTTATTATTAATGGATTAAATTATAGCTTTTGGATAATATATTTTGTTAAATATGTATTTTAAGATTTGAATGAGTTAGTACTATTTATTTGAACAGATTTCATAATAAGAAAACATTCTTTTATAATAAGAAATGTAAGGTTGCAACGAAAAATATCACATTGCAATTTTAAACAAAATATCATGTTTCAATATGTAGTTGATAAATTGTTTTGTTTGCATTGTAAGTTTGCATATAACATCAAATATTATGAATCCTAGTAAATACATGGAAATTTTATAAATTGTTAAGACCTGTGTGCGCTCTTATAGAAATACTAGAGTAAAACAATTAATTGTTGTTACCGTTGACTGTATTTTATAGTAAACGCACTTAACCACGAATTACCATACAATTAATCGTTGAAAACCTCGTGTAATTGTATACAAATTCTATAAAAAATGCTATGGTTTTTAATATTTCGACATTTAATTTTACGGTAAGCATATATTCTATTTCATACGTTAAATTTTGTTCGGAGAGATGGGTTTTGAAGCTATTCTTCTATTGTTTGCACGTGACAGTATAATGAGACGAAGTATAGTCACATCGAGAATTTAAGTACTCATTTCTATAGGAGCAAATAATTTATGATGTTGTTTTGTTTGTCGTATTATATTTTTCTTTTTTATTCTATATATAAACTCGGTGATGTATGAATTGTGTGTTGAAACAAGTTTAAGAAAAACGATAATATTAGTTTAATCGACCCATGCTTATAAATAAATTACGAGTTGCGATGGTGTTTATCATTGAAGATAATTACTTTGATTATGAATTACAACTATTTATAATTAAATGATTTTAATAAAACAAAAAAATAATATTGTAATAATATTACTCATTATTTTAATAATATTACTAATTATTATTTTTATTGCAGGCGGAAGCTGTAGATGTAGATATAGATGAACTTCTCGATATGGCCAGCGATGAAGTTCGTAAAGCTTACCTCAATGTAAGTTTATTTACTTATCCATTTATATTTTTTTATATTAAAATGCTATTTTACATAATATGGAACTATAAATTTACATATTAATTTAACATTGTGGCAAGCAAATGCTGATATCAAAAAATACTACGAATTAATTATCCTTTACCATATCAATTACATTTTATACTCGCATATAAATTCTACGTGTGGAATTAGTTCTGCGTTCTGTACGATACTTGTACCTTATTAAATGCAATTTTTTTTTGAAAATTGATAGACAATTTGATTTAATATTTTTATTACTTAATATTTATATTATTTATACATTTATTTATATGATTCATCATATACTTTTTCAAAGTTCTGTCGCTTGCGGTATGCATAAATAAACTTTGACGAGATCGAGATATTGTATCAAAGAAGTTCTGTGAATTTTACAAATTCTTTGAAAGCGAACTCCACAAACCGATTATAAATGATAAAAAAAGGAATACAATATTGTTATCGCATTTCCTTCAGATCACCGGAAATATCGACTGTAATCTATAATCGCTATTTGTCATTGTCAAGATTTTGCTTTTTTATACAATTTTTTGACCAGTTTCAAGAACGTCGAGGCTCTGTTGAAATGCAACTAAAAGTTAAATAATAATTAATATTCTTATTTGTTCTCGATGTCCATTAAGATAAAATTTGTACTAGATCAATATTTAATTTTATGTTGTTTCACTTATTTCATTAGTACTCAAGTTAATTGAAAATAATTTATCTATTTTTAATGAAATATAAGTATATTACTATTTTGAATTATATCTACTAAATATTATTCAAAATAATATAACAATCTTAGAAACTCAATTTGTTTATTTAATTTTTTAATCAAATAAAGCAAAATAATAATAATTAGTTCTGATGTCGATTGTAAATTATGATTGACTTTTTTTAAATTCATTTTTTATAAATAAAAAAAAGTCATGATTGACTTTTAAGAAGCCATATTTTAATTAGCAGTACTTAATAAGTATTTACTTTTAAGTTGCTTCATTTTATTTTCATCGATAATTAACAAAAACGAATTTAAATACATTACATACCATGTATTACTAGTAGCAACGTTTTAGACATTTTTTTTTATGTTATTCACTTTGTTTGCATTTATTTCGTCGAAATGATTTTTAAAACATTATTATTTTTAAATAATTTCATAAATGTTCATATTAGTTCTAACGATAATTATTTAATATTGTAAATTGTGCACTAGACAAGACAAACAAGGGAAAACTTTAAAAGTATTTGAAAGAAAAGTCAATGAAAATTTAATTGATTATTATGGTTTTTTCTAATTTTAATTTATGATGTATTTTTTTATTTATGATTTTATTTTATCTGTGAATCAGAATATGATATGAACTTACATTCTATCATGGTCACTATTACTGATTTTTGTAATTGTGATCAGTATACTTTTTTCACAAGTCTTGAAAAATTTTTTTTATGTTTCCTTTTACCATATCAACAAATATAATATAAAACGAATTATTACAGGAACTGTTAGCCGAGTCTAAGAAACCACAGAAAGAAATAAGCGTGAGTATTATTTTATTATTAATATACAATTTTCTGCTTATTTTCTATAAATTCTCGTTTCTGAGGCCACCTCATTCATATTCCTAATCGCGTTAAACGTTTATTTTTAGACAAATGGATCGTAAAATGGGTCCCATATAGTTCGAAGCCGTAATTTGCATATATAATTTTTTTATGGCACAAAAACTGACTATTGATTAAATCTTAATTTATATACGAGTTTTGATTCTGTATAATAAATTATCTTCGTAATGTAATTGAATATTTCTGTGTCAGAAATTAATATATTTAACTAAATATTTTACTATTCATTTACAATTCTTTTCAATCATAGATTGCAGATTTTATTGTTGAATTTAAATGAACTGTTCTAGATTATTCCTTTAAACATTCCTTTAAATCATTATATAATGTCTTCCATGCATCATGTCTTCAAAAGTAAAATAAAATCAAGTGTGTTAGCAATAAAAATCTGGATTATTCCAGAACCAATATGTATCAATTTATGAAGAATTAGTTTTTATAGAAACTAAAATGTTTTTTTCCAGTATTTACTTCATTTAAGTACTTCGTGTCCTCAAAATACGAAAAATATTTACATAAGTTATATTTATTGATGAAACAAAGCAAAACATGTACACGTAAAATAAATATATTACGTTATTGGCAAACAGCTCTCACGTTATATAATATTTTCCAATCAGTATATCCTGTAAAATATTATTACTGTGTTAACCAAAAAGAGCATAGTATAAATTAGTTTAATTCTATTATTTTAAATGAGAAAAAATTGAACTAATTATAGTAAATAATTTAGCATCATTTAAGCAAAAACGATTTATGCAGATACAATGTAAATTAAATAAAAATGTATTATATAATATATCTGATTCAAAAAATGGACTATCAATAACAAGATTAATGAATTAATGATCCGCATCACTAGAAAGTGCATTAATTCAGTGCTCCTAAATATCAAATGAACAATAAATAATAAATCATCAAATTTATCATTTCTAATGTTGTAAATTATTTTGATAAGTTCACTCTCGTAACGCGAGGAAAGTGAGTACCTATTACTTCAGATTGACGACTTTGTAGAATCGCATTTTTATTATGAGCATTTTTCGTATTTATTAAGAATGCAGAAAATAACAATCCTTTCTATTTTTAACGGTAGTTGAGAACGGCATCTTGCCATATATACCTATATGTCTCGAGTCGAAATATTCGATCGATAATCTCCAATGTCCGAGTTTTAGGGCATTTGGCGCCAACCGTTATTTATCTCGGGCTCGTGGATCCACAGAATTGTGCCAGTATTAAATAAAGCTGTTTTGTTCGATTTTTTTATCTTTTGCACCAGTTACTCAACTTGTGTGCATTATTAAAATGCAATTACCTTGAGGTAATATTGAAAATTTAATTACCTTCAAATAGTATTTTAACGTAATATTTAATTACCTTCAAATAGTATTATTTACACGTGTAGTTGGTAATTAGAAACATTTTTGGGCAAATTATAAGCATCATTATAATCTTATGGTTTCATAATGAGAACATTATTAGTACATGTTACTGATTAATGTTACTAATTAGTTTCTACATACTTACTTTTTAATCTCATATAATACGATTTGTTAACCACTTAGCATGCAGTAATATAGTAATAAAAATAGCAACCACACTTTAACGAATTATTTGTCGTTTACTTTGACAACATTCTGACTGGTGTTCAGAAAAAGCGTAATAATATTATTAGGCTGGAAACTAAGCTAGTGCGGAGAAAATCGGTCATTTTTTTATGGAAGTAAATGACTTCATTCTGAAATGCATTGTCCATTTTGATCACTGACTTTTTATCATACTTCTTCATTACCCCACTTTCATAACTCTTCTAGTTTTGTTTAGCAGAATTATTATTACATAACTGAATCAGGTAAAATTTGACACCATCATATTTTTTTTATTAATTTACCGAGTCTTGTAAAGTTCCAAATTAAAAATAATCATATGGTGTGAGGTCAGGACTATATGATGGATAGATGTGGCAAAATTCCATCTCCCAACATCTGCAATCATTTTTGCAGTGTGTCTAAAGATATGTGATGTCAATAATGGAATAAATCACAGTTTGGATTTGTTAATGTAGGCCGTTTTCTTCAATATTTCGTTACTTATTCAATATAGACATCAGAATGTATCGTTTGGTTGGATGGTAAGGAGGAAAGTTGATAATTCTTTGTCATCAACTCCAACTGTACTGCCAGGCGTTTCTTATTTTGAGTGACAAATTACCGAAACCAAACTAATTTTGAGATTGCCATTTTTTT